TGAATTTTTTGTTAGGCTTGCGGGGTTAGAATTTATTCTAATCCTAGTGCTGGCCACATATCCTATTTCTAGGTCGTGATAAGTTCAAGGGTGTTTGGAGTCGCTTCAGGATGATTCAATGGATTTTTAGGCTGGTTCAGGGCAATTCGAAGGTATTCAAGACTAGTTCAGTTTAAAGATTTTTAATTAGAATTAGCCTACATTTCAATTCATTTTGGGTCCAAGTTTAGGTAATAAATCTCGGGATGCGTGTTAAGATACCAAAATGGGGTTAGGGACCATTTTAAACAACTGAGTCCTTAACTAGTTTTAGTTTCAATTCTGGTTTTGACATTAATCACTGTGATTGTAGATACGCCTAAGGAGATTCACTATGATTGTTAAGCATAATGTTTGCTAATTCAAACCTTTGGACTTCTGCTTGTACTGTGAGTGATAATACTTATTCTATATATCTAATGAAATGCCACAATATCCTCCACTTAGACACTTGACGTCCTTGTTAAGTTAGAAATCTGTATTTGTATCCAAATATAATAGGTTTGAAGATCGTTTTGCTCTAATACTATTTTGTCATGACCTAGGTGCTAGATACATGATTGCCGATAAGGTTAGAATGGAATTTAACTTAGCCAACCTAACTGTCGTACAACATTTTTATAATAATCTGAGAACTACTAGTTTTAGTAACTTGTTGAGCCTAAAATGATTATGCTTGAGCTGTTCAGTAATAGTTTTTAGTTTTTTATATACTATATTATATTACTCTTAGAAATTGACATAAGATGGGATGTCATAAAAACAAAGTTTCTATTGAAATTTCTTATATATATATATATATATATATTGCATGTGAAGCAAATAATAAATTACTTTTAAAAAAATTGTTATCAACATTGATATCAAGTATTAATAGTTGACATCTTATATTTACATGCTTTTGTTAATTTGAAAAAACTCATGCATTTTTTAACCCAAATCTATTTGCTCTTCTTTAATTCTCTCTTTATATTTATCAAAGATATTAAACTAAAAATAAAAACACTACAAATAACATGAATGAATTGCCATTTTATCTTTAGCCTAATGCTTGGATTCCTATTTTTGTATCCCATGAATGTCAAAATAAAATAATTGATCCTTTATATGTAAGAAAGCAAACCTTTATATAGCTACCATGTACCATTTCATTTTTTTATTATTTTTTTTAAGTTTTAGGAAATAGAACAATGCTACACTTCATCACTAGAAGGTCACCATTTGTTTTAGTGGTAATTTTTTAATATAATTATACAATTTATATTTTTCTTTTATCAAACTCATCAAGAGAAACAAATATTTTAATGTGGAGGGAGGTGAGTCAAAACACTACAAGAAAATCGGTAATTAGCCACGGTCAAAATCGTGGCTAACATGCACAAAAACCATGGCTAAAATGAGGTAGCCATGTTTCATAAAACTGTGGCTAACAAGGGTGCCACAATGTTATTTGCCACGATTTTATGAACCGTGGCAACCTTTTTTTTGCCACTATTAGAAGTTAATTTAGCCACGGTTATAACCGTAGCTAAATATTAGCTAATAATAAAAAAATTAAAAATGAAATACAAAAATATTAGTTAGCTACGGTTATAACCGTGGCTAAATTTTGTCTAATAATAAAAAAATAAAATAAAAAATAAAATTCTGTCAGTTTAGCACTGGAAACTATTAAAATGGTGCAGATAAGCTAACAACATGGCTTGTAAGGACTGTCTAAAGCCTGTAAGATGTTTTATACATATATGTGGACAAAATTGCATACGTACTCATGAACATACGTTGTCTGAGCAAAGCAACATCAACTCAGTTGTGGGAGTAGATTTTGTCTTTAAGCAGATACCTCCCAAGAGGTTTAGAAAATGGCCAGGTTTTGGCTTTCAGCAGATACCTCCCAAAAGGTTTTGAAAATTGCTAATTTCCCCTTTGCCATTAACATCTATTAATATATTCTTCATTGACAATTTGACTATGTTAAAATACTAAAATGCCCTCAATTGTTTTGATTTTGGAAAATTACCTCCCAGAATTTTGGATAGAAATGCTGAAAACCCCCATCTTCACTATTAAATCTCCACAATATTTTAGTAAAAAAATGAACTACTTTGGCAAAATTCTGTCTTTGTTTCTCCATTTGCAAGCTGGTAAATAAAAACTTTAAGTTTGAATAAAAATGGGAAATACCTGATGATATAAAAAGCATTCCAAACAGAAAAATTAACTTTTTTGGTATATGTCAAGGTGCTTTTTGCCGAAATCCAAATTTTAGGATATAAAATGATAATCATTCCTCATACTATTAGTCAAAAGTAATGGCAGGGAGGGATGTTACTATTTTGTAAGCCTCAAAAGGTATCTGCATAAAAGCCAAACATGAGGGGAGGTGTTCGCCTTTAACCCAAACAAATTATGATGAAAATTATTTGAAGGGTCACCGTATGAGCAAGAAGATGTGATTTCTTAACTATTTGCTAATTGATATGAGCTCTTGTTGACTTAAGAGTCAAAAATCATGCAATGGAGTTTCACTGACAAACCAAGTGTTAAAAATAAAAGGCATAGAATGTAATAGAATAAAAGACAAACCAAGTGCACTGAAACTCCTTTTTCCTATTAGAATGTAATAGCAGAATGTAATAACAGATCACGTGCTTATGTTGTTTGCTTACCATCATCTAACTCCATGACCAATGTGAGTGGAATTGTTCATCAAGGAAAATTCTAGATTTCAAGTGAACAAACTGGCAAAGAGTATTTTTGAAACAATAATGACATAAAGTAATGCTGCCATGTTGGTTAAACAGAGAGTAGATTTACCAGCTTATGCAGTTATATGCATATAAAACGGAAGCCTCCTATGTGACTCTAACATGATGGAAGCATGCGAGTCTTCTCATGTAGTATTCATGAGTGTCTGATTATAATTCCACATAGTCCAAATATTAGCAAATCCACAAATTCAATGCCACTTTTGTTTCTTCAAATCATCCAGGAATCTAAGCAAATCCTGCAAGGGTTATGCTCAACAGTTAAAGTGCAATTCTTGCTCAAATATCAGACTCTATTACTCAACCATTACTAAGAATATTCCTTCCTTGCAAAAATATCATCGAGTGATGGGTTTCTATACCTACATTTGTTAATATCGAAGAAATCCATCCAAATATTGGCAGAGAGATGAAAATAATTATAAGAGTAGCAGAATGTTTCAAGTAGTCTTGGGAATAATAGCAAAATTTAGTGAAGAATTATGAGTTGGAAAAGCAGCAGGAATACTTATCCAAAGCAAGCCCCACCAAGGAGATCTGTAAAGTATGTTTGGATTTAAAGATGAGAAACGAAAAGAAATGATTCATTAGGTTTGGTAGGAGAAGAAAAAAGAAAATAAAGGAATTCATTTTTTCGTTATCATGTTTGGATAGCAATAATAGAAAATGTGAGAAATGAGTAGTCTTCATAAATTGTCATCTTATTATAATTTATATTGGTTATTAAAGGCTGAATTTTTTTTCTTCACCAACTTCCATGAGAAGACAAAACAAATTTCCAGGAAGGTTTTGTTTCTTATCAATTCACCTAATGTTATTGGTATTGTGTCAAATATTTTTTGCTCCTTGGAATCAAGAAGCTTAAGTTCACCACTGTAAGTTGCTTAATTGCAATAATTTATTAAATATTATTAGTTCTACCATCTTTTATTCGTTGTAGTTAATCGTTCCATACAAGCATATTCAATAGTGAAAATTCCAGTGATATGCTCTAATTGTGACAACAAGTAGGGGCAGAGTTAGGGAACAAGTGGATCTGTGAGATGATAAAAATTGCACTTATTGGTTATAAAATGAGAGAAAATATATTAAGATGATTTCAACACATACAAAAATACATAAATAAAAAAAATTGTGTTGAGAAAGATCATGCAGTTACTTGGAAATAGAACCATAGGTTGATAGATGCATGGTCAGCAAAACTACAGACTTTGGTAGTTGAGTCAAAATAAAATTGAAATGATAACTTATCAAACTTGGTCTTGGATGAAATAAAATGCACATTAACTAAGAATAAGAAGCACGAATACATACATGCATGCCATGTCAGACCGAATATGAACAGTTCAATGTTGCCTGCATTGTCTTGTTGCAGTGGATGGTCCAATTCCTTTATTTCTTCAATGAAATTTCTCTACTGAAATCATTTCATTAGCAAAGGGAAAAGATAAGAAGCTTTCAAATGGATCCTGTTGATATACTCTCTAAATTACTCTGTCTGGGGGAAGTTCCTTTATTTTCAGTTATGTTTTTTATTTTCTTATTGATCATTTATTTGTGTTAACTGTACTAATTATGGTAATATCCAGGAAAGCTAAAAAATAAATTCACATCACAACTTAAGCATAGCAAATCACATACAGAAATCTATGTATTTTTTATTTCCTTGATGGAGAAATTGGGCATATTCTTCTTTTCCTTGTTCAACCTTGTACAATTGTAATACTAAAGGCCTCCTAGTCACAATCCCTGCAATTATCACAAAAAAAAAAAAAAAAAAAAAACCTTAAGATAAGTTATTTGAAACAGACACTGACACCCAGAAATTAAACAAGAAAAAAAAATCACCATTCATTGCTTTAAACTTATATGATTGCAAAACATGGGGTTATCAAGACTAGGTGGCTTTGTAAAACTTCCAACTTGATTGATAACAAAAATGGGGAAAAGGCAATTAATCCAATTTTCCTATTTTTCTGAAAGAGTGACTATAAAAACCATTATATTTTCCTTTAATTCAAGCAAAATATTCCTTCAATGTCCTTATTAATGAGTATTTGCGTATGACCACAGAAAAAAACTACTTCAGCAACAAAATGCCCACAGGCAAAACATAGAAGAGTTCTAGGAATATATTTAATGACAAAACTGAATCATATTTAATTACAATCCGTCTAAAGATGGCTGTATTTACCACTCTTCTAATAAAACTAATAATTAATTTCACATAAGAACAACATAAAAATAAAATAGTTGAAAGAATGCGTTACCTGATCCCCTTGGCAAAAAATCCTTACCCACAATACCCTCCAACACTGAAGACTTTCCAGAACGCTAAAAAAAAATATCACAATTCACCAATCAAACCTAGGAAGATACACGAAAAAAAGAAAAAACGCAGAACTCTCTGTTTTTATATTTACTGTAACATACATAGAAACAGCGTATATGCCAACACATGTACAAACGCAAATGTTGGTTTGCACAAATTTTGTAGTGTGTTCACTCAGCTTGCTGGATATGGAAAAATGTCTTCGCATGAATATATGCACTTTAATCAATTACATGTGCTAGAAATAAATAAATTCATAATAAAGAAGAAACATTGAAACACATACACTTTTATGCATGTGTATACCATCCAGAGAAGTCGACACACATCCGTAAACCAAGGCATAACTGAATCAACAATGATGCATTTTGCGTCTATACATACGACATACATATATACGCGCATATGAAAATGCGAACATATAGAACCATAATTTGCACATGCATAGACGAATTATACAACTAGAGAAGCACAGCCTGACCCCCGACCACGATGATGGTGGGAAGGGAACTCCAAAGAGTGGGCAATGCGTTCTCGGCGCCGTAGTCACCGAGGACCGTACAGGCCCTCTGAATGCGATTGACGAGGCCAATGACGCCGTCCATCATCGCAGAGCCAACGGCTCCATTTCCAGCTAGAAGAACCATGAGTGTTGTTTGGATTCCTTGAATCTCTACAGGCGAACAAAACAATGTTGTAATCTGCCGCGAGTAGTTCTAGAAGATTCTGATGCCCTAGATAACCAAGAAAGAAATAATGGGTCTCTTCGGTGAGATAGAGAGGGACCAAAAGTGGAATAGTAAAGAAAAAAATGAAAGGAGAGAGAGCCCGGGAATAGAAAAAAGGAGGGAGACAAAATACCTATGGCGCTCACGGAAATTTTTTTTCCCAGAGTGTCTTAGCCACAGAGTCCAACATGAGGCAAAATTTTCTTTTTTGATTAAATTTACCGTGGTTATAATAATTGTAGAAAACATACCGTGGCTAAGGCTAGTTTTTTTGCAGTGAAAGTTAAATATCTGATATCTAAATAAGTTTCATAAATAAATTATTTTTTAAAATAAATATTGCATTCAAGTCATTATTTATACTTGGAACATATAGAAAAGAAACGATAAATTTTAGAATTCTTGAAAAGCAAGGTCTTACTAATATATTTTAATTCTCTGTGTTTTTATGAGTTAATTTCAAAATTATGACATTCGGGAACGTAATACTAGTGGAGGTTAATGTCCTCTGAAAAGACAGAAATGGTATTTATAAAAATTTATATTTACCATTATCTTAATTTTTCAATTGGGGGAATGTTTTCATGTGAATATGTTGTGGGGATCTTTTGGTGGTCTTTCTCTACGTCGGCTAACTTTTGTCATGTAAATAATGATGCTTTGACGATGATTATAGTTAAAGCAAGTTCAAGTTTCAATCATAATAATGTAAATTTATATGTAAGTTAGTGTTATAGGACCATAATTGGCATAATTAGATGGGTGAATTGATATCTATTATTGCTTTCAAATAACTAAAATATATTAAATATAAATCTGAAATGGAGTGCCTTCCAAAGAGAACGACCATGAGGTTTTTTAGCAAAATGAGCTGCGGTAAAAAAGTTAGTCCAAGTCATTTTATTAGTCTGTAGAATAGGTAATTAGAGGACTTTTAGGAAAGTAAGACCTCAGTGAAAGAGAATATATGGTAATTATATCAATTTTCTATATCATTGTATGTATGTCTTTATCAATTTTGAATTCAAAAGCGTGACGTACAGGAAAGGAAAACTAGTGGAGGTCTACATGTCCCCTCAAAAGACCAAAAACGTAATGAAAATTTACATTTACAATATTGTAACGTAAATAAACATATTCTATATTTACTTTCTTATAATTTTGATCTTGGATACAATATTTGAAGGCAAAATAAAATATAAGTGATCAATATATCATTTTCTTTTACAGTTTTTGTTGAAAGTTATCAATATACCAATGTAGGCCATAATGCTTGTCAAATCTTCTCTTTTATTAAAACATAAGTCTTATTGAAGTTAATAATTAATGCCAAAATATTTAACTAGTCAGTACGATTCCATCAAGTTAGCTCACAAGTATGTCCTTGCAAAGCTAAATAAATAAATAATTAGTGTATGGACGTTTATACTTTATTCGTTTTTGAGTATCTTATATTTTTTATGTCAATTTTCATGTATTTGTCTGACCATGAAAATGAGGAAGTGCAACTATTTTCTCTACTTTCTCATGTAGTTGATACTTTAATTCTTTGTCATTTTTCACTTATTTAAACATAATTTAAGTAACTGACTATAGTTCGGTACGCGGCCTGTCTATCAAGTCTTCTTACCTTACCAAGCCTTCTCATACAAATTAGAAAAAAGTATTTAAGAATTTGTTTTTGATTAATTACAAAACATTATAAAAACAAATCTGGGAATGAAGTGACGTCCTAAGAGAATAATAGATGAGATTCCTTAGCAATAGACCAAAGCCAAAAAGTAAGTCCAGGTCGTCTTTTTTTTCCCTAGAAGAGGGGTAGTTAGAAGACTTTCAAAGAAGTAAGGTGCCCATATATCATTTTTGTATGTTTTTAGAATCAATTAAAAAAAAAAAAAGAAATGATAAATTTAAAGACTTCTTGAAAGTAAGGTCTTGCTAATATCTTTTTTAATTCATTGTAGTTCTTATCAATTTCAAATTCGAAAGCCTGATGTTCGGGTAAGTAATACAAGTGGAGGACTAATAACCTTTTTAATTCATTGCCTTTTCTATGAATTTTAAATTCAAAGGCATGACATTCGGGAAAGTAATACCCGCGATGTTGTTTTCCCGAATATCATCCTTTTAAATTTGAAATTCATAAAAACACGCTAAATATAAAATAATGTTAACATGACTTTACTTTTCAAGGAGTCTTCAAAGTTTATCTCTTTTTTGTGACAATAAAAATAAATAATTATTTAATTAAAAATTTAACTTAAGTAAGACAATATTTATGAGATTTACTTAGAAATTAAAATTTGACTCTTGTTCCACTCTTTTTTAGCGTCAAATTCTCTTTGGATGTCACTCAATTTTTAATTCAATGTGTCTTTATAAATTTTAAATTTAAAAGCACGACATCCGGGAAAGTAATGCTACTCGAGGCCTATGTTCTCCAATAGTATTATTTTATTTATAAGTTCTAAAATATTTGAGCATTGCTGTATTTTATCTTTCACTTCACTATCAATGTGGCACCACCACATTTTAAATGTGACAGTTATCATCACTTATCAATTAGAAAGAATAAAAGTTACATCTAAAAATCAATGAAATATATTATTTTCCCAAATATATAAAGATAAATCTATAAATTGAGTGACATTCAAAACAGAAATTGGGGCCCGGTGGGAGAGGGTAGACGACTCTTGTGGGTAAATTGGGGTAAAACTATTATTAAATGCAGAAAATTCTTATACTTCGAATTTTTCATCTTAAAGGCTTGCGAGGTGGGGAGATCCTTGAGTGCACATGGTCGGCCCTCATGTATCTCCTTTTCCAAAACAACTTAATTTGTGAGAGTATTATTTGGCCAATGTGATAAAAGACATTGAAGCTGGACCCACAACTTGATTCTCCTTTTCCAAAACAACTTAATTTGTGAGAGTATTATTTGGCCAATGTGATAAAAGACATTGAAGCTGGACCCACAACTTGATTCTCCTTTTCCAAAACAACTTAATTTGTGAGAGTATTATTTGGCCAATGTGATAAAAGACATTGAAGCTGGACCCACAACTTGATTCTGTTGTTTTAATTAAAGAATGCTTTAGTTTTCGTATGTCTCCACCATCCGGGCACGAGGCTTTTGGAATTGAGATTTAGCAAGTGTCCAAGGATCAAATGAGAACCCGTGAGTCCAATATCTCTAAGTTGCTAGAAATCTAATCTTGTTACTTCTTACATAATAAATGATTTATTTAGTTATTCATTTCTTATTACATCCTAAGTATTATCTGGGTTGGATTGTGAATCTCGTGAATAAGGCAAAAATAGTGACATAGTATGTCAAGTTAAGTGTCAATGCTTCATTTTTAATTCTGAGGCCTTTGGAAGATTCACATGTCAATACTCAACACTGCTCAACACCTTAGTTCTGACTAACATCAACTTTGGGTTACTATGAGTGATAATATGTGTTTTCTCGTCTTTTTTACGAAATTCATGAGCTTGTATGTATTATATTGGTGTGTTATGCATTCTATGCTGTTGTACTATTGGGATGAGCACATGTATGGATATATATGTATATATATTATTATATTTGATTGTGATGAGCAATCTAGTGAAATAACTATGATGTTAAGTTTCTATTAAGTCTCGAGATCCTGAATCCTTATTACTAGGGAGTATGTAGGGACGACAGTAAATAGGGACAGTGGTAAATAAGAATGGTGGTAAATAGGGACGGCGACATAATTTTCACCTGCGATTCCTACCTACAATGCCCTAGCAATTTTTTTCTTAATTTGGATGATTGTGTTGTTTATATGATTATGTAATAGCCATAACTTACACTGTTACAAATGAGGTTGTTGATAAATTGTTTGGTATTAAAGTTTTCTTGGTATTTCCTAAACTTAGTGATGCATTTTATCACTCATTGAGCATTCGGTCTCACCCTTTTATTTTTCCCTCCTCAAATTCTAGCATTGATCCCCATGCTGGTCCTATTTTTTTGAGGCGTTAATCTCTCTTTCTAATGAGTCCTACACATTCCTACTTGTGTGTAGATGTAGTCTTTTGAGCTTTGCACTATACGCCTGTAATAGCTTGGTTTTTTTTTTTTCTAATTGATTATGAAAATCTATAAATTAAATAGGTTTGGGGGTGTCATTGAACAAATTAAAGGTTTTGGGGCGAATCTACAAGGTTTGGAAAAGATCAGGGGCTAATTTAAAAAATTCTGGGACTAAATTGAGAGAATTGAAAGAGGAAGAACTGGGTTATGAGAGGAGTAAAGTTCGAGGACCTATTTAGAAATGGAAGGGGGTTAATTGTGAGAAAGGAAAAGTTAAGGGATCGGAATGTGACAGGGGCAAAACTTTTTTGGCCAGAAACCGGCCGAAGCTCCTCGAGCCAAATTCGCTCCAATGGAAGCGAGACAGCAGATGAGCTCTTGGGTATATATGTGTGGCTAAGATACGAGCTTAGGGGTGTGCTCAATTGGAAAGATTAAGTGAGAGAGAGGGAGAATTTGGAACTGGGGAGGATGACGGGTTCGGCCGGAGTCTTCGAGGAAAAACTTGGAATTTCTGCAAGAATCAACCCGATTAAAGGTTGAAAGGCAGCTTGGGGAGCTCAGAATTCAAGCCTAAGGGTGTCAAATTGATTTGGTAAGCTTGAAAATCTTGAATTTTTGAGGTTTAAAGGGGGTTCGGGGGCTGTTGCAGACTCGGGTCGGCGGGTGAGGAAGATGGGACCCGAATGGGTTTGGGTCTCGAACAGGGTCGGCTTGGGCTATTGGGCCCCGGCTCGGCCTAGAAGGGTCGTAGGCCCGCGGTCCTGAGCTGCAGGCCAGCCTAGGCAATGATTGGGTTGCGTCGACTCGTTGGGTCAACCCAGCCCAATGGGGGGCTATGGTGTGTGGGCCAGGGCTGCGGGTTGGCCCAGTCCGATT